ATTTTTTATTCAGAAAGGGAAGAGTTCTTTGTACTGCGTATTTGCTTGTGTATTGAACTTTTGCGTGCACATTGGTCATGTATGTTTTTGTGAGTATTATAATCAGATCCTGTGACCCTACATGGAGTTGAACCCTAAACTTTCCACTCCCTTTTAACACAACAAAGTTTTGCTAAAAAACCAGTGCTATAAAAGATAACAACATTCATGTAAGAATGCCATACCTGTACAACCGCCAATGTGTTTCCCCCCTGCATGGAAAGGAACAAACATGTGAGCTTCTACTGTCATTAAACAGCCAATAAGATAAAAATTAAAATACGACACTTATAATTTACTTCGAAAGCATTAGTTGGTAATATCATTCTTCAGATAGTGCCTATCAGTTAATAAAGAATTTAACTAGAGTAACATAGAAGCCTGATAATCCAATCAGCCCCTGTTGAGAAATCGTACTAAAGGATAGAACTAGTATAAAGTCAAAATCTGGAAAACAGCAAACATTTTTTTCTTCTTCTAATAGCACTTTACTGTTGGTGTGTAATCCTTCAGCCGAGTCTTGGAGCCAAAGGAATTGCGTCCATTCTGTTTTCATTTCTTTTAGTTGTTTATTTTCAGTTTTATTGTACACCCTTGGATCACAGTCCAAGTGTCTTAATCTCTAGCTTAGATTTAAGTGAGCTGGCTTGACAGGTGTAAGCATCTAATAGGGTGCTAGTTTTTGAGCTTTTTGTAAAATCGTTAGAGAGAAGAATCTCTCTTCTCTCTCCTCAACTGATACATCAGAGTGGAGCAGACATGAATGAATACTGAAGCATTTTTTCTCTTCAGAGCAACGTTTTCTTTCACAATTCTTCTGTGATTTTCTTTTCTGCTCCCAAAATATCCAAAATACTGAAACTATGAATTCTAACACTAGCAACTTTATTGTTGCTCTTCTTTTGTCTTGTTATATCTCGTTTCTGAGTTCAGTGTTTCTATAGCAGTTCTATTATATAAATTGATATCAAATTCGATAGAAAATCATGTCTTTGGTAATTCATTGCAAGAAGCTTCATTACAAAGCGCTTCCTAATTTCAAAGTTACAACACAACAAAACATTTGTTCTCAATCTGATATTGTAATTTCCATACATACCTTTTAATATATGTGCTAAATTTTCTTCTTACTGCTAATAGAAGGATTACATAAATGATCCCCGGCAAATCAACTTTATCATTGAGGGTGGCAACTTGAGTAAGAAATTAATAGAATGGTTGAGGACTGGAAGAGGTCAGCAGTGTATTATAATTTTAATCCGTAGAAGATGTCTATGAAATTTTTTATTTGGTAACTATTATACCAGTTACACCCCTACCCTCACAAGATTGAACTACCGTCACATGTTTGTTAACAGACAGAATTTAAGCATCAGAGAGCCTTCGGCCGGTACCACACCGGTGCCTTAGGTCTTACTGAGCGTACTCTCTTTTGCAGATCATGCACCCTACCGAGGCCTTTAAGATACCGAAGGGATAAAATTACTAAGTTGACCCTCAAAGTCAAAGAACCACTTTTTGGCGTCAACAACTATATTGCCCAATCTTACATTTATAACCATTTCGATATTTAGAAGTAACAGCTTCTACAGTAATAAAGTAAAACAGTGTTGGTCGTATGTCGCATAATATATTATAGGGTTATTCGCAGCAATGGTCCCTCAACTATACCCGTAGTTACACTTTGGTCCGTCAATTCAATTATTAGTTGCAGGGGTCACTCAACTAGGTGCTATGTTGCACCAGTAGTCCTTCCGTCAAACTCAGTTAAATTTTCTGTAAAAAATGAGGGTAAGTTTGGAAATTCATCCACAACCCTCCTTTTTTTCTTTTTTTTTGTTGAATAGGGGGGTCAGGGCCCCAGCAAAAGAAACAAAACTAACTAAAATCCAAGCATACCCAGCAGGACTTAGAGGCTCCCATCGCATCCTCAGCTAATAAGGTGCCAATCCAATCTGGAGCAAATTCAAGGGGCCAAATGCCCAGATCACTGTTGTAGCTAGCCTGGGCTAGACAGTCAGCCACACAATTTTGCTCACGGTATACATGGTTAACACCACAGTTACCAAGTTGATCTACAAACTTGCTGCAATCTGAGATCACTCTAGCAAGAGGATGGAATCTAAGTGACCCAGAATTTTGGAGGATGCCTCTGGAGGCTTTGTGGGAGGAGGAAGAGAGGCGGAGCTGGGAGTGAAGGTGTTGGAAGAGGGAGAGAGACTAGGTATGGTCCAACTTGGAGCACGATCGTCGCAGACCGGAGTAAGAGGAGATGGATTTAGGGCCAGAGAGTTGGGAAGCGAGAGATGTGGAGGCCCCCGCCATGTCTGACTCAGTGAGTTAGAGCTTTCGAGTTGGGGTTTGCTTGCTCTGTGTTTTTACTTGTATTTCACGAGTGAGAGAGTGAGTCACTGAGAGAAAGAGGGTGGTCGGGTTTTATGGTAACCAGAAGGTGGTTGGAATCGGGATTAATGGTGGTTATGTGGAGGTTACTGTTTCAATTTAAAAGGTTGGGACCATGAATATTCATGAGGTTATTGTTTGCTGGGGATAGGGATGTGCAGAGGGTTTCTTTTGTTCTACACCAATGGGCTGCACATTTTAAGTTCGCTCAGAGAGAGAAAGGGAGGGGTTGTGGATGAATTTCCGAATTTACCCTCACTTTTGACAGAAAATTTAACAGAGTTGGACGGAAGGACTATTGGTGCACCTAGTTGAGTGACCCCCGCAACTAATAATTGAATTGGTGGACCAAAATGTAACTATGGGTATAGTTGAGGGACCATTGCTGCGAATAAGCCTAAAAAAAATTATAAAACTGAGTAAAGCCGTGCGGCTGTACTATTTGTATACACAAAAAAGGGGACCCAGTCATTTGGCGCCACGTGTCAAGACAATTCTACTTTTTAAAAAAAATTAAAAACACAGAGTATAGCCGACCGGCTGTACTAATTTTTTTTATATTTTTTTCTTTAAATTTTTTTATAAAAAGGGCCCTCCGGCGATTAGACGCCATGTGTCACTATACTATTTTTGGAAGAAAAAAAATCGTAGAATTGCCGCACGGCTATACTATTCTAAAAGGTCTATCTATACTATTTAATATATAAATTAAAAAAAGAAAAGAGGACCCTCCAAGTTTCATTAGCTTGTACTTTATACATATTAATTTGCTAGTTTCAACATATCCAAAGTAGATATTAATAAGTCACTATATAATATTTTAGTATAATTTTTATAACACATATTATTCGTATTTAATGATATGTGAGAATTATTTGTATAATACGTGAACTTTGTGAGAATTAAAATATGTGTATTAAGCATTAGAAATACGTATGTACATGTACAATACGACTATTGTACGTTTGCTTTTTAAAAAAATAGTAGAAGTGTATAGAATACGAATGTATTATTGAAAAATACGTACATACATATGTATATATAAGACTATATTTTAAAGAAACTAATTTTATATTTATTTTTATAAAAACTTTAAAAAAATAACATAAACACTTCTCCCGACGAAATTTCGTCGGCATAGATCTATGCCGGCAAATATTTGACGGATTAGGTTTCTCCCGACAAAATAACCTACGCCGACGAAATTTCGTCGGGAGAGGTCTAATAGACTTGTACCGACAAAATTTCGTCGGGAGAGGTCTTTTAAAAAAAATTAAATATAAAATTAGGATGTTTAGGTTAATTAATTTTTTAAAATTTTATTTTTGGAAATTCAATAATATATTTGACTGATTTAATTAGTTAAATTAGTAAATACATTTTAATTATTATTTATTTAGGGAATAATTAGTATTAAATATTTAATTAACTTCATGAATTATCTTACTTAATAAATAGTAATTCAATTTTTCTGTTTCTTTTTTTCCTTTAATATTCACTAAGTAAATAATAACTAAAACATAATTACTAATCAAAGTAATTAAAAAAGAGAAATACATATTGTGCTATTTAAAGGGTTCGTAAAATAGTATAGCCGAGCGGCTATACTCTTTTTAAAAAAAATTATAAAACTGAGTAAAGCCGTGCGGCTGTACTATTTGTATACACAAAAAAAGAGGACCCCAGTCATTAGGCGCCACATGTCAAGACAATTCTACTTTTTAAAAAAAATTAAAAACGCACTCAATCAGGTATATACCTATATATATATACCCACCAGAGTAAGAAGATGAACACAAACTAGACGAATATGGAAGAAGTAAAGGTACTAGGGTACTGGACAAGTCCATATCCTTACAGGGTTATATGGGCTCTGAAACTCAAGGGTGTCAAATATGAATATATAGAAGACGACATATACAATAAGAGTGATTTGCTTCTCCGGAGTAACCCAGTGCATAAGATGGTTCCAGTGTTTTTTCATGGTGGAAAAATAATTGCAGAGTCCACTGTTATTCTTGAGTACATTGAAGAGACGTGGCCTCAGAACCCTCTGCTACCAAATGACCCTTATGCAAGGGCCATGGCTCGGTTTTGGACGAAGTTCGGAGATGACATGGTAATCAAATTTCCCTAATCTTTTGGCTTGTTCTCCTAGATTCATATGAAATGTTACCTTTTCACTGACTGGTTCTTTTGTGTAAGTTAGAGGCCAAACTTTTTTGCGTTCTTTTGGAAAACTGGAGATGAGCAAGCAAAAGCAGTAAAAGACGCCCAAGAACTTATGACAATCTGGGAACAGCAAGGCCTTGGGGAGAAAAAGTTTTTCAACGGTGACGAGATTGGAATGACAGACTTAGCCTTCGGATGGATAGCATTCTGGCTTGAGGCCATGGAAGAAGCAGCTGGTGTACAAGTGCTGGAAGTCAATAGCTTCCTTCGCTTGCAGGCATGGATTAAAAATTTCAAGGAAGTTCCTGTGATTAAAGAAAATCATCCCGATAAGAGCCGCCTGTTAGGCTATATGAAAGAACGAAGGGCGGTACATGTCAAGCCAGCAACTTCTTGATATCCACATGAGCCCAATAAGAAAAAAAGTTCAAAGATAAATAAATGTAATAAGCTTCTACATTCCAATAAGAGAATAGTTCCAACAACATCTGGAGTAGCTTTGAAACTCTGCATAAGCTTCACAAACCCTTCATTAATTTCCAAATCATAAAGGTATATGAAAATGAATTAGCCTTCACAATATCTTTTCTCTTATCAGTAAAATTTGTAGAGGTAGAAATGGAGCGTCCTTTCTTTCAAATCATAGACTAAGGAGATCAGGTTCTGTAAGTGAATACATGCTGAGTTGTGGGGTTAGCTTTGTTTGTTGTCAGATTGTGAAAACCGCGCTAAGGCTCTCATGAGGGTCATCTGAAAGCAGGGGATTTTGGGGCCAAGTCTCATCAATGGGTTTCCCATTATTCCCATTGTGAACAGGCACTGGGGATCTTTTTGTGAACTGGGTTATATTGTAAAAGCAAATCGAAATAACTGCCTACCAAATGGGGCCGTATATATTATATTCGGGGAAAAAAAAGAAGCTTTGAAATTTCCTTTTGGAATATTAAACGGGATGTCGCATTTTTCTTCTTGGCCACCTTTTGACTAATTGACATGACTTTTCAAGTAGTTTTGAGTGTGCCCCAAGAACACCAATGGTGCTATGCCTAGTGTAACTCCAATTTTGGATTATATACACGCATTTCTACTTGTCAATTTCTTGGCAAACAATGGTCATTCTTTTTAAAAAAAATACATAAGTAAACTTTTGACCCAACCTTTGAACCAAAAGCTTATAAAGACAAACAAAGCTGATCCATTGGTTGGAGCAAGTTAGAAAGTAAGAAAAAACACATCTTTACAGAAAATGGAAGAGGTGAAGCTGCTAGGAGCATGGCCTAGTCTCTTTTGCTACAGAGTCATATGGGCTCTAAAGCTAAAGGGTGTTAAGTATGAATATGTGGAAGAAAATCTCATGAACAAGAGTGATCGTCTTTTACAGTATAACCCAGTTCATAAGAAGATCCCGGTGCTCGTTCATGGCGGAAAACCAATCTCAGAGTCCACTGTTATTCTTGAATACATTGAGGAGGTTTGGCCACATAATTCATTGCTTTCAGATGATCCTTATGAGAGGGCCATGGCTCGGTTTTGGATTAAGTTTGGAGAGGACAAGGTACGTGAGACATTTAAATTTGCTCACATGACTTTATTTTTGTTTAAATAAAATATATCACATTATTTGACGAACAAATTTGATGCTGATTTTGCAAAATTCAAAGGCCTAAGACGGAACATTTGAATTTTAATAATGTTTCATGCACATTTATTTGGATTTTTTTGCCTTTTGATAAGTAGTCACAAAGCCACTATAAAAACCTAGCAAAGAGTAAGCATAGTCTTTTAATATCATGTTTAGCAACATAAATATTCCAATAAGAAAAACAAAACACCAAACAAAATATTGAATTGGGCCTGGTTTGATTTATTCATATATGCTGCATTGGGCCTTGCAGACTGCAATTTTTATTGCATATTTTCAATCGGTTGGTGAAGAACATGAGAAGGCAAAAAGAGAAGCGCAAGAAGTGTTGAAAACAATAGAAGAACATGGGCTTGGGGAGAAGAAGTTTTTTGGAGGAGACACAATTGGGTTGGCAGACTTGACATTTGGATGGATAGCTGGTTGGCTAGGAGAGATGGAAGAAGCAGCTGGTGTCAAGTTGCTAGAGCCTAATCTGTTCCCTCACTTGCAGACTTGGATCAAAAATTTCAGAGATGTCCCTGTGATCAAAGATAACCTTCCTGAACATGATGGAATGCTGGCCTATTTCAAATCCCTAAGAGAGAAGTTTACTGCATCAGCAAGGACATAGATACATAGCGATTTTAGGATTCGGAAATGGGCTGGCCCGCTCATAGCCGACCGAAATGGGCTTCCACCAATTGGGTTTAGATCGTTTCTTTTCGATCCATGAATCACGAGGCAAATGCTGATTAATTTTAGATGGGTGAGAAAAATAAAGGTGTAAAATAGCCTCTAAACAATGATATTATGTATCAGCTTAACACTAATAGAAATCCCAATAAAAACTTATTATTTGATGCATGGTTTGTTCTGGATTTCTTCTTGTGTCATTATCACTAACTTGCATGCGCTTAGGCATCGTTTGGTTCATGGAAAAAGAGATTTGGAGATGGGAAATCAATTGCTTTCTCATGTTTGATAAGTCCAAGCATAGGAAATCATTGCCTGGCCCATGGGAAAGTAGGGGGGAAAGTGAAGCCATTCTCCAAACTTGGGTTTTGTTTTCCCTCCTCATGGGAAAGTTTGGGAAAATGAGCAATATGAAATAAACATTTTTCATGACCATTTTGTCCCCATTAACAATTTAGAATTACAATATATCATTAACTGCATTCTTTTTTTATTTAATTTAATATGGGTATAATTGAAAATTTATACAAACTTTGTTTTCCATTCCTACTCAAAACAAACATGGAAAAGGAAATAAAGTGATATCTCCCAGTTACTTTCCTAGCATTACCAAACGTATGAAAGGAATCTTCTATTTCCCATCTCTTAGGAAATGACATGGGAAATGATTTCCCCTCAAATTCGTTCCATTAACCAAATGGGGCCTTAGAGAGGCACACTTCCGAGTCTTAACAAAAGTTGAGAGATACCCCACCCCACCATGTAAGGGAGGTCATATCTTTTTCAATCTTCAATCTTGACCCAAACACCTAAACTCTAAACCAATCCTTAAAAGTTAAAACCATGTACTTGTAGCTCAAGGGTTTAGACTGGTTGGGTATATTTGGGAATGTTAACAACCTTCTTTTGGACTTTATCCCTTTTCCTCATGACATATGTCACATTACTTACACTTAGTGCTCGTTTGGCATTGCTTATTTGTGGTGATAAGTGATTTTTTAAAAAATTTGGGATGCCCAGCTTGTTCGGTAAACTATGAGAAAATCACTTATTGTTAAAAATTGTTGTGAGAGAAAGCTATAAGGGAAAGCAACTAATGAGATGCTTTCATTTTCTTATTATGCAGGAATCAGTTTCGAAGAAGCGTTGGGTTTAATGATTTTGCAGGAATCAATACCAACAACACTTTTAACAAAAAGTTTACCAAACGCCAAACTGCTTTCTCACACAACAAATCTGATAGCGATTATTTTCACAGCACAGTAGTGCCAAACTAGCCCTTAAAACAATGTCATTAATGCATCAGAAAATCTATCTTTTATTTTCCAATTTACCCTTATCTAAATTTTTTTTTACAACTTTCTTATCACCTTGTTAAATAAAACTAGAAAAGAACACAAAAATCAAACTTATAATCAATCCAATTGTCGTACGATTAGTCTTTTAACAGAAATTTATATATATACATCATATATAGCCAATTGCCGGAAATGGATGAGATGGTGAAAACAATTCTTGGAACACCCACATCATTCTAGCCAATTCAACATCAACATACATCACGCGATTACTCTGAAAAAACCCTAGCCGCACACTAGTCCCTTTTCTCCTTGCCAACAACCAACAAGGAAGCTAAGGGGGGGAGGTGGCCACTACTCCTCCTCCCCTCCGCCCATCTTCCCCTTTCTCTCCTCATCTCCCCTTCTTTTTCTCCCACCTTTTCCCTTCCTTTTATCCCCTCTTATCCTTCCCTTCCCCTCTCTAGATAGTCTAGATCTGTTTGGATCTAGGTCAGATTGTCTGTTTGTTTTGTTTGATTATTTTTGCAGTGTTCTAGGTGATTGGTGTTGTCTATGTCTTTGGTTTTATGAATGAATTCTCTTTCTCAAAAAAACAAACATCAACATACATCCAAATTACAGGATTTGAAAACTAAGTAGTAAATTTATATATATGAATTATTATTACTTGGTCAAACAAGACGGCAAATTATGATTAGTAATCTCTACCGAACGTCGACTGAGAGCCCAAGCAAGTTTGAAACTTTGAACTGCACTCAATCAGGTATATACCTATATATACCCACCAGAGTAAGAAGATGAACACAAACTAGACGAATATGGAGGAAGTAAAGGTACTAGGGTTCTGGACAAGTCCATATCCTCACAGGGTTATATGGGCTCTGAAACTCAAGGGTGTCAAATATGAATATATAGAAGAAGACATATACAATAAGAGTGATTTGCTTCTTCAGAGTAACCCAGTGCATAAGAAGGTTCCAGTGTTTTTTCATGGTGGAAAAATAATTGCCGAGTCCACTGTTATTCTTGAGTACATTGAAGAGACGTGGCCTCAGAACCCTCTGCTACCAAACGACCCTTATGCAAGGGCCATGGCTCGGTTTTGGACTAAGTTCTTAGATGACAAGGTAATCAAATTTCCCTGATCTTTTGGCTTGTTCTCCTAGATTCATATAAAATGTTACCTTTTCACTGACTGGTTCTTTTGTCTTGTGTAAGTTAGAAGCCAAACGTTCTTGGGTTCTTTAGGAAAATTGGAGATGAGCAAGCAAAAGCAGTAAAAGACGCCCAAGAAATTATGACAATCTTGGAACAGCATAGCCTTGGGGAGAACAAGTTTTTCAACGGTGACGAGATTGGAATGACAGACTTAGCCTTCGGATTGATAACATTCTGGCTTGAGGTCATGGAAGAAGCAGCTGGTGTACAAGTGCTGGAAGTCAATCGCTTCCCTCGCTTGCAGGCATGGATTAAAAATTTCAAGGAAGTTCCTGTGATTAAAGAAAATCATCCCGATGAGAGCCGCCTGTTAGCCTATATGAAAGAACGAAGGGAGGAGCATGTCAAGAAAGCAACTTCTTGATATCCACATGAACCCAATTAGAATAAAAGTTCAAAGATAAATAAATGTAATAAGCTTCTACATTGTGCTGCACGGTGTTTTGCTCCTCACTCATCTTCTTTGTATGGGGTTCTGCATGCTGTCATCCCTGCTGGACAACCGTCCTATTGAAGATCTTGTGATTTGTTTTCTTTAAGTTGTTTTTATTTCCTTGTGCTGCCCTGGTGGGTGTTCATCCCCGGGTGTATGTGGTTCTGGCCGTCTCTAGTTTGCTATTGAAACCTTTGTATTGACCACAAAAAAAGAAAAAGAAAAGCTTCTACATTCCGATAAGCGAATGGTTCCAACAACATCTAGAGTACCTTTGGAACTCTGCATAAGCTTCACAAACCCTTCAATAACTTCAAAATCATAAAGGTTTTATGAAAATGAATTAGCCTTCACAATATCTTTTCTATAATCAGTGAAATTTGTAGAGGTAGAATGGAGCGTCCTTTCTTTCAAATCATAGACTGGAAGGAGATCAGGTTCTGTAAGTGAATACATGCTGGGTTGTGCGGCTAGCTTTGTTTGTTGTCAGATTGTGAATTTATATGATGTAAAAATATATAAAATCACCTTTTCGCCTATGAGCTTCGTCAAAAACCGCGCTAAGGCTCTCTCATGAGGGCCATCTGAAAGCAGGGGATTTTGGGGCCAACTCTCATCAATGGGTTTCCCATTGTGAACAGACACTGGGATCTTTTTGTGAACTGGGTTATATTGTAAAAGCAAATCACTCTTGTTAGCCAAGTCCTCTTTTATGTATTCATCTGAAAGCAGGGGATTTTGGGGCCAAGTTCCAAACAGCTTCACTACTTCCATTTCTTGAAATTTCCTTTTGGAATATTAAACGGGATGTCATATTTTTCTTCTTGGCAGCCTGTTGACCAATTGACATGACTTTTCAAGTAATTTTGAGACCTTTTGACCAATTGGTACATGATTTTTCAAGAAATTTTGAGTGTGGCCCAAGAACACCAATGGTGCTCTGCCTAGTGGTTCTATGTTTTAGAGCTCTAGGCGAACATCCTAAATGAGATCTTTTACTTTATATGTATATTTATGTGATTTCTTTTTTGGTAAGTTAAAAAAATATTTTATAAACTCAAATTCACAATTGTAACATAAAAGAAATGATGAATATGTAATTTACACAACAATTTTATAAAATGCATCAAAACATCACTTAAATGTCACTCGCCTTGTATTTTTCGATTCAAAAGTATCAATTAACACAATCAAGTTTTTCTACCATTGTATTTTTCCGTTTCCTAATTGATTCAACTAGGTTAACTGATTTAAGCTAAGTTTTATATAAAAAAAGGTCTTTATTGAGTTTCCTTTTTTTGATTCTGAATTGAGTAATTGGGCAATTTTTTATTTTTTATTTACAATGAGTGGGCCTTTATTGAGTTTACTCTTTTTAATTTTGAATAGAATAATTAGGTAAGTTTTATTTATTTATTTATATTTACAATAATTGGTTTGGCGCTAACATAATATTTATATAATATATATTTCAAATAATATAGGAACCTCCCAATTTGAGGGCCCTAGAAAGCTGCCTTACCTGCTTGTGCCGAGGGTCTCCCCTAACTCCAATACATGAATTTCTACTTGTCAATTTTCTTGGCAAACAAATAGAAAACTGACAAACTTGATAGCATTATTCATTGTATATGCCGGGTCAATTAAGTAAGTTTAAATACCAAATTAACTGTTGACCTAACCACTGAACCAAAAGCTTATAAAGACAAACGAAGGTAATCCATTGGTGGGAGCAAGTTAGAAAGAAAGAAAAAACACATCTTTACAAAAATGGAAGTGAAGCTACTAGGAGCATGGCCTAGTCTCTTTTGCTACAGAGTCATATGGGCTCTAAAACTAAAGGGTGTTAAGTATGAATATGTGGAAGAAAATCTTGTGAACACGTGATTGTCTTTTACAGTACAACCCAGTTCATAAGAAGATCCCAGTGCTCGTTTATGGCGGAAAACCAATATTAGAGTCCACTGTTATTCTTGAATACATTGAGGAGGTTTGGCCACATAATCCATTGCTTTCAGATCCTTGTGAGAGGACCATGGCTCTGTTTGGATTAAGTTTGGAGAGGACAAGGTGAGACATTTAAAGTTTTTCACATGACTTTATTTGTGTTTAAATGAAACATATCACATTATTTGGCGAAAACAAATTTGATGCAGATTTTGCAAAATTCTAAGGCATAAGACGGAACATTTAATATAATCTTTCAAGCACATATATATTTGTATTTTTTTTTCTTTTGATAAATAGTCACAAAACCATTGTAAAAACCTAGCAAAGAGTAAATTTAGTCTTTTAATATCATGTTTAGCAACATAAAGATTCTATTAATGTATAAGAAAAAAAAACACCAAACAAAATATTGAATTGGGCCTGGTTTCATTTGTTCATATCTCTGTTTCATTGGGACTTACAATTTTTATTGCACATTTTCAATCGATTGGTGAAGAACATGAGAAGCAAAAAGAGAAGCGCAAGAAGTGTTGAAAACAATAGAAGAACATGAACTTGGGGAGGAGAAGTTTTTTGGAGGAGACACAATTGGGTTGGCAGACCTGACATTTGGATGGATAGCTGGTTGGCTAGGAGAGATGGAAGAAGCAGCTGGTGTCAAGTTGCTACAGCCTAATATGTTTCCTCACTTGCATACTTGGATAAAAAACTTTGGAGATGTCCCTGTGATCAAAGAGAACCTTCCTGAACATGATGGAATGCTGGCCTATTTCAAATCCCAAGGAGAGAAGTTTACTGCCACAACAACATGATAGATACAAGTCATTCCATTGTGAGGGTCTTATTTATTAACCGTTTAACTAATCAATTCGATTCAACAGTCAATAAATAGGGTGGCCTTAGTTAAGGCCTCACTATAGAATTCTACCATCAGACACATGATTTTAGGATTCGGCAATGGGCCAGCTCGCTCATAGCCACGGCCAGAAATGGGTTTTGACCCATTGGGTTTAGATCGTTTATTTTCAATTCACGGATCACGAGGCAAATGATGATTAAAGGGGTAATATAGCCTCTAAACAATGATATTATGTATCAGCTTATCACTAATAGAAGTTATAGAATGCCAATAAAAACTTACTATTTTATGCAGTGTTTGGTCTGGATTTGTTCTTGTGACATTATCACTTATGTACATATACTTTAGATGCACACTTCCGGGTCTTAACAAAAGTTGAGAGACACCTCATAATGGCGGATTCAGAATTCGAAAGTTGGCCGGGTGAAAGTTATATTAAAAACTCGACGGTAGAATTGAATTTCATTAATAAACATAGAAAAATATACATAGTCAATAAACGTAATGAACATTACCTTTAAAATACATTTTTATACATAAATAAAAGCTTATATAAAAACAAAAACAACAAATAAGTCCACCCATGCACCCCACGTAGGTCCGCCCATGCACCCCACCCATGTAAAGGAGGTCATATCTTTTTCAGTCTTCAATCTTGACCCAAACACCTAAGGATATCATACTTTATACAGTGTCATATGGAAAAACCAATTTCGCCACCAATCCTTCAAACCATGTACTTGTAGCTCAAGCAGGTAACCAAGTTGGCTGGTTGGGTATAAGTACATCTAGAAACCCAGAGCACAACATAACAAAAATGGCAGAAGTGAAATTACTAGGAGCTTGGCCTAGTCCATATGTTAACAGGGTTATATGGGCACTAAAACTCAAGGGTGTGGAATATGAGCATGTAGAAGAGGATGTGTTATTCAACAAGAGTGATCAGCTTCTGAAGTATAATCCAGTGCATAAGAAAGTTCCTGTGCTTGTTCATGATGGGAAACCAATTGCAGAGTCCATTGTCATTCTTGAGTACATTGAAGAGGCATGGCCACACAACCCCCTGCTTCCAAAAGACCTTCACCAAAGAGCCGAAGCTCGGTTCTGGGCAAAGTTTGGAGAGGACAAGGTAATCAATCACTCTCAACAGTTTGGTATGTTATGTTTTCAAAATAATTGGATACATGAATGAATTTTTATATGAATATTTAAATATTTAAATATATATGTTTGTGACATCGACTGTCTAACAACATAACATGTTTATACATGAACGCGAACTAACTCATTTGTTTTGTGTAACGCAGAACCGAGCTTTTTTGGGCTTCTTTTTTGTGACTGGAGAAGAACAAGTGAAAGCAGTCAAAGAAGCGCAGGAAAGTCTTGGAATCTTGGAAGAGCATGCCCTAGGAAACAAGAAGTTCTTCGGCGGTGACGAGATTGGATTGGCTGATTTGGCATTCGGGTGGATAGCTTGGTGGCTGGAAGTCCTGGAGGAAGCAGCTGGGGTTAAGGTGCTGGAAGCTGACAGCTTTCCTCGCTTGAAGGCATGGATGCAAAGCTTCAAGGAGTTTCCCACAATCAAAGAGAGCCTTCCAGATCGCAGTGGAATGTTGACCTACTACAAAGGCCGAAGAGCAACACATGTTGCTTCAGCAGCAGATGCATAAACAAAACAAGCTAGTACCTGCTGGTGTAGGATTTGTTATATAATGGCATGCCGTAATGTTATATTAGTTGATGTACTGTTGTTTCTGTATTTTACTTAATCAATAATCACCAGGAAAAAAGAGCCCGATCAATTTTACATGTCTTTTTCATGTCTCCACTTTCTGATTTTTTTTTTTTCCCTTTCACTTACTGTTGACCTTCTCGGCCTTATACTTGAGCACCGTCATTGTAATCGTCCATTTAAATGTATCAATACTTACTAGAGAGATACATCCGATAAGGGACTTTCTCTATTGCGAAGTGCTAGTGTGCGGAGTGAATGCGGACTTCTATTTGTCACCGGTAGATTCCTTGTACGCTGTAGATTTAAAACATCATTGAGAACTTCTATTTCTATCAAAGCTTTTCAGTCTTTTGGTAAGAGCCATGATTTCCCGCACTTACACCTCCAATCTACTAACCTCTGTTTCTTTCTTCCACCACAACACCTTCTCTTCTCTGTGCTTTCATCCCTGGCAATATCACAGCTGCTCCTCCAGGTTATAATATTTTTATTTATTCTTTTCAACACCTTCTCTTCCGTGTGTTCTCATCCCTGGCAATATCACAGCTGCTCCTCCAGGTTAGAATATTTTTATTTCTTATTTCTTATTTTTTTTGCTTTATGATATATGGGTATTTTCCATTTTGCTTATACAAAGTTTTCTGATTTTCTTATGGTATGGGATTGTTTACTAAAAAGATTTGGGTTTCGTTGGAAATCACGAAGGTTGGAATCGGAAAAACAGAAAGCACTGATGTATGGGTTATATGGATTTGGCTACTAATTGGTCTCTGTTTTTGTATGATTTTGGCTAAGTTATTCTATTTCGTTTTCTGGTTGAAAGTTCATCTAATTCAAGTTTGATATGCACTTACAGAGTATAATTAAACAACAGATCAGCCAAGGTCATATAAAAAAAATCCCACCCAGCAGTACAACACCTCACCAAACTCAAAACGAAACAAAAGTGAGCCAAGTTCAAATGCACTTACAGAGTATAATTAAACAACAGATCAGCCAGGGTCATATAAAAAAAATCCTACCCAGCAGTACAACACCTCACCAAACTCAAAACGAAACAAAAGTGAGCCAAGTTCATACGAAGACCAAGTAAAACCCAAACCCAAATCAGCGAGGATATCCCTATAAAAAGAAATAGAAAATTAATGTAGAGAAGAAGGGAAATGACGTATTGCATATACAGAGTCACAGATAGCAATTGATGAAAGCATCAGATGAAGGCACAGGGAAGAGAAGGTGTTGTGGTGGAAGAAAGAAACAGAGGTTAGTAGATTGGAGGTGTAAGCGCGGGAAATTTTGGCTCTTACCAAAAGACTGAAAAGCTCTAATAGAAATAGAAGTTCTCAATGATGCTTTAAATCTACAGCGTACAAGGAATCTAACGGTGACAAATAGAAGTCCGCATCCACTCCAATAGAGAAAGTCCCCATCAGATAATATAGAAAACCTTAATCCTTAGAACAAATCGGATTCATCATATATTATATGAATAATAATGAAAAGTCACCCACCCTAAAGAAGTTCTGAAAATTACAGGATTTGAAGACTAAGTAGTAAATTTATATGAATTATTATTACTTGGTCAAACAATACGGCAAATTATAATTAGTAATCTCCACCTAACCTCTACTGATATCTTGGAGCCCAAGCAGGTTTGAATTGCACTCAATCAGGTATATATATATACCCACCAGAGTAAGAAGATGAACACAAACTAAACCAATATGGAGGAAGTCAAGGTACTAGGATTCTGGGCAAGTCCATATGCTTACAGGGTTATATGGGCTCTGAAACTCAAGAGTGTCGAATATGAATATGTAGAAGAAGACATATTCAATAAGAGTGATTTGCTTCTTCATTGTAACCCAGTGCATAAGAAGGTTCCAGTGTTTTTTCATGGTGAAAAAACAATTGCAGAGTCCACTGTTATTCTTGAGTACATTGAAGAGACGTGGCCTCAGAACCCTCTGCTACCAAATGACCCTTATGCAAGGGCCATGGCTCGGTTTTGGACGAAGTTCGGAGATGACAAGGTAATCAAATCTCCCTAATATTTTGGCTTGTTCTCCTCGATTCATATGAAATGTTACCTTTTCACTGACTGGTTCTTTTGTGTAAGTTAGAGGCAAAACTTTTTCGGATTCCTTAAAAAAACTGGAGATGAGCAAGCAAAAGCAGCAAAAGAGGCCCAAGAACTTCTGACAATCATAGAACAGCATGGCCTTGGGGAGAAAAAGTTTTTCAATGGCAACAAGGTCGGGATGACAGACTTAGCCTTTGGATGGATAGCATTCAGCCTTGAGGCCATGGAAGAAGCAGCTGGTGTACAAGTACTGGAAGCCAATAGCTTCCCTCGCTTGCAGGCATGGATTAAAAATTTCAAGGAAGTTCCTGTGATTAAAGGAAATCATCCCGATAAGAGCCGCCTGTTAGCTTATATGAAACAACTAAGGGAGGTGTATGCCAAGCCAGCAACTTCTTGATATCCAAGTCTTAATATTTCCAGTGTACCGCATGAACCCAATAAGAATAAAGGTTAAAAAATAAATAAAAGTAATAAGCTTCTACATTCCAATAAGAGAATAGTTCCAACAACATCTAGATACCTTCGAAACTCTGCATAAGCTTCACAAACCCTTCATTAACTGCCAAATCATAAAGGTTTATGAAAACGAATTAGCCTTCGCAATATTTTTTCTCTAATCATTGCAATTTGTCGAGGCAGAAATGGGGCGTATGTTCTTTCAACTCATAGACTGCAAGGAGACAGGTTCTGTAAGTGAATACATGCTGGGTTGTGGGGCTAGCTTTGTGTGTTTTTAGCCTTAGCTTCTGACAGCAAAGGTTCAAGTTCACCTTTTCGGTATAGCTTCACAGTATCTGCATATCAGAAAAAAGAGCAACATTAGAATTAAAACATTTTCCCTTTGTTCAACTTCTTTTTTAATCTTTTCACTTTGTGTCACCAGAGATTCTATAACTAGCTAGCATCGCCAACACGAAGATACACAATATTTTTTATTCAGAAAGGGAAGAGTTCTTTGTACTGCGTATTTGCTTGTGTATTGAACTTTTGCGTGCAAATTGATCATGTATGTTTTTATGAGTATTATAATCAGATCCTGTGACCCTACATGGAGTTGAACATTAAACTTTCCACTCCCTTTTAACTCAACAAAGTTCTGCTAAAAAACCAGTGCTATAAAAGACAACAACATTCATGTCAGAATACCATACCTGTACAACCGCCAATGTGTTTCCCCCCTGCATGGAGAGGAACAAACATGTGAGCTTCTACTATCATTAAACAGCCAATAAGATAGAAATTAAAATATGACAAACTTATAATGTACTTCGAAAACATTAGTTGGTAATATCATTCTTCAGATAGTGCCTATCAGTTAATAAAGAATTTAACTAGAGTAACATAGAAGCCTGATAATCCAATCAGCCCCTGTTGAGAAATCGTACTAAGGATAGAACTAGTATAAAGTCAAAATCAGGAAAACAGCAAACATTTTTTTCTTCTTCTAATAGCACTTTATTATATTGCCCAATCTTACATTTATAACCATTTCGATATTTAGAAGTAACAGCTTCTACAGTAATAAAGTAAAACAGTGTTGGTCGTATGTCTCACACCTTTACACTGTTGACCATTAACAGGGAGCAAGGGACAGAGAAATAAAATCACATTTTTCAAGAAATGACTGCAAGAGATCTCCAAACTGTTAAAGAATCCAAGAAGTTTCATTTCTATTCCAGCATTTTCTCAGTAACCAAACAAAGTGAGAAAAAAAGACAGCAAAAGAGAGTTCAGGGGGTTTCTCCAGTCTTTACCTACTTTTGTATGCAGCCTTGGAGGATGAGATTGAGTGTTTGAAAAAACAACTAAGAAGGGAATATAACCTTGAGATTGAGTTTGGAGAAAAGAATGAAAAACAGGAACATTTGTGTTTGAGAAGAGAATGGAAAAAAGGATTCAGCAAGTCACCTTTTGGTTAACTTTTCAAACTTTTAATAAAATAAAATAAAAAACTACCCCAAACCACATATGTATAATATCTAGACTTGATTTTAGATTTGGCGGTGAAGACAAACAATTTGTTGATCAAAGAGTATGTTATTTATCAACAACGGGTACTTCCAATATATACTTATTGAATTTATTGTTGCACTTATCAAATGACACACTCAACGAACTACAGTTCCTAAAGAGTATCAAGGACAATTGAATTTGTATAAAAATTGCAATAAACATCATGTTAAGATACTATATCGAAGAAATACTTTTACTAAGCTACCCAGAGCTGCGGCCTAGGGTAGCCTAAACGGGGGTCCGCCCTTGAATCCATAATGTGTATATTAATGCAGGTCTCTTCATTTGAGCAGAGAAAAACATAATTGAGATGGTTTAGGTTAACCACTAAGAATCACAAAGAGCGTTGCTTACCAATAAAAACATTCGGGACAGTATGTTGTCCTGTTAGCCTCTCCAATACCTTTTGCAGCTGTGGCCCTTGGGGACCTGAAGGAGAGAAATGGCTTTCGAATTTAAGCACAATTCGATCAAGTCTAAAGACAAAAGTGATAAAACAGAGTAGGAATCAAACAATGCTTCTCAACATTCAAACTAAGCCAAACAGAAACATACCCTATCAAATTGGGGAGAAACAGAAACCTATGAATTTTGTGTACAAAAGCACACGTATTTTCTTAATTCTAGAAACATATTATCTCGATCATTGCACAAGCCAGAAACTTTCGGTTTCATAAGGTGAATGGAGCTCAACAATTTGTTCGTTTGTATGCATAATCAGCTTCAAATTTTCCATTCAAACTGTTCTACTACATTTGGGGCACAGAAAACTGAGGCTAAATTATCAAATTACATTAAATCTAAAAGGACATAACTGCACACTCGAGAATTCACGCAAGCAAAAGACTTAGAAAGCATTTTCATCCGTCAAACATCTAAACTGAAATTTGATAACAAAAACAAAGCTGCATATTGTTGGCATTTTATGGAGAGCAAGAAAGCATACCAAGTTCATCCAATTCAATGACCATCGGCTCCACACCAAGCCTTTTGAACAACGATTTCACCTCAGAGGAGTACCTTCAACCCAATTTCGAACAAACCCATTTCAAATTTCTCAAAAAGAAACCAAATTGACAAAGCAATCAACATGAAAATTGAAAATTTACGAAATCCAATAGTAATGGGGATTTGATGAGATGTATGTACTCACGAACACCACGTTTTGGAATAGACAACAACTGGGTTCTCATCGACCGTCTTCTTCACGCTCTCTTCGAGCCGAGAACCGAAAGAGGAAGCCATGGCCTTAACAGAGAAGGATCTCCATCTTCTTGAGCCATTGATGCTGAAAAGGCTGATGCTTGAGCTACCTCTTGGGCTGCAATTGTTGCTCAAAGGAGCAGAGCAAATGGAGGACTTGTTTGTAGAAGAAAGAATGCGAGCAGAATTTAGAGAAACAGATGCGAAATTGGTGATGTTAGACGAGACTGCCATTGTTGCTGTCTCGCTTCAGCTTTCTTGGAGCTTTTTGTTTATTTTTTTTGTTTGGGCAAATCCCCTGCTCTTGCTTGATTCTCCTTCCTTTTTGGCTTTTTCTTATTTGGGTTTTTGACTATTAGGGGTGTATTCAATTAAGGATGGTGTATTCAATTAAGATTTTAATGGATTATTTTGAAGCTTAAAAGTACAGCAGTATTCAATTAGAATTTTTAAGTAAACAATAAAAGTCTGGTGGTATTCAATTAGGATTTTTAAATAATCAATACAAGTCCGATGGTATTCAATTAGGACTTTTAATAGATAAGAAAAAGTACTGTGGTATTCAAAAACTTACTGATTTTAATGTATTTCATTAAATGGTGTATTGTGTGAGACTTTTGAGTATGTGATATATATACCAAATCACATAACAAATCACACCCTCCTATGCATGATTCTCAAATATGCTCTCATACTTTTTCTTCCCCGTTATTTTTTCATGCCTTTTATTGTATATAAAAAAAAAAAAATTCATAAGAGAGACGATAAAGGGTCCACATCACAGCACAGTCCCCCTTTTTCCTCCTTTCCCTCTTCCTTTTTTTTTTCTTCTAATTTTTTCTTTCTTTCCTCCTCCCTCCCCTGACCCCTCTTTCTCCTTCGCACTCTCCTCTCTCCCTCAGTGTTTAGTAAACAACCACCAATTTTAGATGATGAAAGTTGCAAACCAATTTTGTAAAAGCTCTTCCGTTGGTTATTCAAATGGGAAGATCCAAGTAAAACGAAGGTCTTTATCTATTGAACAAAGCGCTACTACGTTCAAATTATGTGTAATGGCATGGACCATTAAATATCATATTAGGTATGGAATCAAAAAACTGATTTATTTTGGTTCTAGTTTCTTTCAGCCGTTAGCCTTACAACATCATGTTATATCTACAACTTTAATATTTTAATTGCTATATAAAATTACTTCAATGTCATTAGAACATTTTATTGTCACTTATTGAGTTATTTTGAAATATTTTCTATGAATTCAATTTTGGTTTCGGTTTAACAAATTTTGTCTTCAATGGGTGTATTGTTTTTTGTCAATTTAATAACATTTTTATAATATTATAAATATTATGTTGCAAAGTGGGCAGAAAGGTTTATGAGATTTTATTGGTTAATGTGGTGAGCAAACATACTCCCATAGAAATAAAATCCTGTAATTATAATCTATTAAAATCATAAGTAAAATCATAAGTGAATAAAATCATAAGTAAAATCATGTAATTGCAATCTATTAAAATCATAAGCAAAATCATATAATTACAAATCCGGTTGAAATCCATTACATTAAAATCATGTAATTACAATCTGTTAAAATCTTAATTGAATACACACCCTCCTTAGTTTTCAGGTTCTTTGAGATTCACTGACAGATGAAAAGTGAAAACAGGAACTGGGTTGCTGCCATTGGTTTAAGTTTAAGCTATTAGGGGTGTATTCAATTAAGGATGGTGTATTCAATTAAGATTTTAATGGATTATTTTGAAGCTTAAAAGTACAGCAGTATTCAATTAGAATTTTTAAGTAAACAATAAAAGTCTGGTGGTATTCAATTAGGATTTTTAAATAATCAATACAAGTCCGATGGTATTCAATTAGGACTTTTAATAGATAAAAAAAAGTACTGTGGTATTCAAAAACTTACTGATTTTAATGTATTTCATTAAATGGTGTATTGTGTGAGACTTTTGAGTGTGTGATATATATACCAAATCACATAACAAATCACACCCTCCTATGCATGATTCTCATATATGCTCTCATACTTTTTCTTCCCCATTATTTTTTCATGCCTTTTATTGTATATAAAAAAAAATTCATAAGGGAGACGATAAAGGGTCCACATCACAGCACAGTCCCCATTTTTCCTCCTTTCCCTCTTCCTTTTTTTTTTCTTCTAATTTTTTCTTTCTTTCCTCCTCCCTCCCCTGACCCCTCTTTCTCCTTCGCACTCTCCTCTCTCCCTCAGTGTTTAGTAAACAACCACCAATTTTAGATGATGAAAGTTGCAAACCAATTTTGTAAAAGCTCTTCCATTGGTTATTCAAATGGGAAGATCCAAGTAAAACGAAGGTCTTTATCTATTGAACAAAGCGCTACTACGTTCAAATTATGTGTAATGGCATGGACCGTTAAATATCATATTAGGTATGGAATCAAATCCCATTTGAATAACCAACGGAAGAGCTTTTACAAAATTGGTTTGCAACTTTCATCATCTAAAATTGGTGGTTGTTTACTAAACACTGAGGGAGAGAGGAGAGTGCGAAGGAGAAAGAGGGGTCAGGGGAGGGAGGAGGAAAGAAAGAAAAAATTAGAAGAAAAAAAAGAGGTGGAGGGAAAGGAGGAAAAAGGGGGACTGTGCTGTGATGTGGATCCTTTATCGTCTCTCTTATGAATTTTTTTTTATATACAGTAAAAGGCATGAAAAAATAACGGGGAAGAAAAAGTATGAGAGCATATATGAGAATCATGCATAGGAGGGTGTGATTTGTTATGTGATTTGGTATATATATCACACACTCAAAAGTCTCACACAATACACCATTTAATGAAATACATTAAAATCAGTAAGTTTTTGAATACCACAGTACTTTTTCTTATCTATTAAAAGTCCTAATTGAATACCATCGGACTTGTATTGATTATTTAAAAATCCTAATTGAATACCACCAGACTTTTATTGTTTACTTAAAAATTCTAATTGAATACTGCTGTACTTTTAAGCTTCAAAATAATCCATTAAAATCTTAATTACCCTCCTTAGTTTTCAGGTTCTTTGAGATTCACTGACAGATGAAAAGTGAAAACAGGAACTGGGTTGCTGCCATTGGTTTAAGTTTAAGCCTTTGGCAGTTGGACTACATTTGTGGAAGTTTCAGCCACAGAAGCCATGCATATCATATCCTGCAGTTAGCTATGGGCTGATGGGCCTTCAAAGATGAAAGATTGGTTTTTTATTTATTGTTTTTTGGGTAAAAAAGATTGGGTTTTAGTTGTGTATCTTGATCACAATCTGGGCCTAGTCGGCTATCGTCATAAATGATAGTTAGGCTTAGGCTTCCTTTTCCTACAAAGAATGGATAGATACTTGGATATTTTTCAGTAAAAAAAACCCACAGATTATAATCAATGGTAGTTTTTGTGTTTTACAATCCAGTATTCCTTTTCATTTTAAGCCACAGATCGTAACCATTTTGGTTGTACAATTATAGCAGGTTTTGTCTTCTCAATATATATGATGAAACATGATCTCAGCTACTGCATTTCTACAGACTCTTCAAACCAGCTGTGATATATTGTATGTTCTTGAAGGACACAATAGGCAACGTACCTATTTCCCACATTTATTTTTCCCTTCATTGCACCTTCATCAGATATACATGTATATATGTCAGGCCAAAACTTGAGTAATGATAATAGCACATTTATGAATGCTGTCTCTATGTCTGGCAAGACTTGTTGCATGGCCAGTCTCATTGCTGTCTGGTTTCAGGTTTTGGTTGCCATGGATCCATATATCCACAACCTTAATTATGAACAGGCAGTTTATGTCCCAAATTGGACAAGATAAAAGAAAAGGATGGGCTGCCAACTCAGGGTGCCAAGTAAGAGGTTACAACCTGAGTTGAAGAAGCTTGAGTTTGTCTATCCAACCTGGATATACTCATAAGAATCTTTGCTGTTTACCTCCATGCGTTTAATACATGTTTCTGAATGCTGGACTTTGATCTCTCTAAGTTATGTGTTGTCAAAATCAAGTTCTTGAATTATTTGTCATCTGAAGAATAGATAAACTTGGAGGAGTCTCCATTGATAACGTCAAGAATAATTTTGATATAACCATACTAGTTTGGGTTGATTAAAGCAAATGATATAGAAGGAATTAGGACTCGTTTGGGAGTGATTCTAGATATGTCAATATCCAGCATCACTCCTAAATGAGAACTCAAAATCGCTTACTTAAAGTGATTATATGGAGAAACACGTGAGAGCTGCTTCTCCCCATAATTGATTCTGGCCCTCCCAAAATCACTACCAAAATGCCTTATATGAAATATCTGAATTGAATTAAAAGAAAAGTTCGTTGTGATTGTGGGAAAGGAAATCATGAGATGAACGAAATATGGAAGGGTATCTGTCTGAGTATGTGACAGCATCTTACAAACACAACGTACCATCCAGCAAACGATTGCACCAGTCAATTCAATTGTACTTAAAAAGAGTACTAAAACAGTTGATGCAGCTGGACACAGACACTGCAGCTTAATTTTCTGCCCGTTCATAGTTGATACTGATTTATCAGAAGGTTTATAGCCCAAACGAAGTGTTGCATTTCCTGTGATACTTCTTTTACTTTAGGATGCAGATCCTACGGATGATCCTTTTAGGTCCACCAACTCAGCCTGCAATAGACACAACATGTGAAGGAACAAATTCTGATTTTACAAGCTCCAATGGTTTGTGCAAGCAGAAGAAAAATGGGCCCTTGGCCCCTTCAAGTGATGGGATTGTGGCAATGAAGAAATGTGGCCATCCCATGTGTTATTTTAGTGTTACTGGCAGAAAATGTCTCTTGGCAGAAGAACAGAGAGAAGAGGACAAAAAACTGGAGCTGTTATCCGCAGTCAGGTTTTTGAGGAAAGCTCAGTTGCTGGTGAGTTTAGGTTGTGGTGGTGGAAAAGCATCAATATTCAGTTCAAATCCTTTATGGGATTTTGAATCCTTAGCATGGGGCACTCATGTGAGGTGTTTCTAGTCTGCGTTTCGTATGGTGAAGAACAAAAGCCTTTTGCCTGCGGCTCATACTGTTTTTGACTCAATGGACATTGTTCTCTGTGTCCCATGTTTTCTTTTCCAAATATTTTTGCTCATTTTAATTCTTATGGTGAGCTTTCATGTGCTACTTTACAGTGCAGCAGAATGCAAAAGTTATTAAAAATCTATTATGTTGATGTGCTTCAGTCATATGATTTAGAAAGTTAAAGATTTCAAAACATCTGATAGAAAAACAAAAACAAAAAGTATGGATTCCTCTTCCATGTTATTTAATTTTAAGGTCAGAGCCCGGTTTGGTGTAGAGATATTCACCTAATCCTCTAGGTCAGAGCCTGGTTTTTATACTTGTTGCATCCTTCATCAATAATAAAACACTAACGCCTTTGAGTCCAACAAAAAAAAAATTAAGGTCTACCTAAATCCAAATAACACATACAATGTCAACTTCGATACTAAACTTGAGAATTTTTTTTCTTTTGGTAGCATTTTTGGCAGTTTAACTAAGCCTGTAATCTGGATAATATCTTGTCTTTGTGCAGAAAACAGGCAATTTGATGTCTGATCTGACAGTGCAACATGTTTCTATTTATGAAAATTATCCAATAATCTGTCTTTTGTTCATTGAATCAGTTGCATTCAATGGGGATGCTATAAGTAAGAACTAAATAAGGCACATGGATATCTAATTCCAAAGAAGTTTGTTGTCCCCTCCATGTAGATTGATTCAGTCACATTTAATGAGGTTGGTATTTCTCTTGGCCAGAATGGTGAAGCATAGAATGTGTAGGAACTAAATAAGGCATGAGAATGAGATAGTTGGATACCTATTTCACTGAAAACGAATTATATTTGTGTGGCTGCTGATACAAAGTTTTTTTTTTAATGGATGAAAGGAACTTGAGTAGTTTTCTCAAATCTAGAAAAGTATTTTGTGCCAGTTTTCCTTTATAACTTCTTAGTCACAATCACACTTAAATGACCTAATAATCTCCTAATCTGCTGCCTAAACACCACAGGCATATCTGTTCAGCTTGCTTTACTTTCTGCTAATAGCATTATATGCATCATGCCCCTTTGCCCTTTTCTCCGTGATGAGCAATTTAAAATTGTCCGAAATAATTACATGCCAATTATATTGGCACAGTTGCAAGAAGGCCTTGACCTCCTTTACATGATCAAATGTGTTAAACAATTGATTATGGCATAACATTACAAAATCAGTTCAAAAGTTCTTAAGTGTATACATTCCTCTCTAGATATGCTTTACAGACAAGATTTAACAGTAATTTTCATGGAGGGCTTTGTGGCTCTATCAATGTGCAAGGCAACAGAAGCTTAAAGATTGATATTTTATTTGAGCATATAATTAAGTTGGTCAACCTCAAGATAATAGTATTAAAGAGACTGGTAATGTGTAGACATATTGGAATTTGGCTAATTATCCAGAGAGAGAAAACAAGGTGGTGGGTATGGTGGAGTTGAGTTGCATTGTCCTAGATGGGTCCTACCCATCTGATGATACAGATGCTTATGGCAAGTTGACAATCTGAAACATTGAATTAGTGGGCTGCCCTTTTCTTTAATAGGTTTTGGGAAACATGGTGTAAGCTTAAGCAATATTGTTCTTAGAGCTATATTACTACAAGTAGCTCTTAGCTAACAATGAGGAACCTTTGCACATGAAAATCCCTCTAAAATTAATGCAAGAGGGAGAGAAAGTGGGGAAGGAACTTGTTAATTTAACACTTGAACTTAAATCTTTTCTTTTTTACTTTGAACTTAAACCATGGAGATTCTTAATTATATTTAAAGAGTATGTGCTAAATGGGGATTTTTTGATCTTTGAAGTAAATTAATCGGGCTTTTGTGAAAAGTTGTTGGTACGTCGGATAGAAGGGTTAGTCGGGCGGTTTGCGAGGATAATAAAACCGAAATTGAATTGGAAACCCTGTCACTTAACTTGTTCATTGGATTAATATGATACAAAAAAAAACCTGTATGGAACTTCAGAAAAAATAAAAGAAGAAGAAGAAGCCTCATCATCCTCAGGTTGCAAAATGCCCAAACATTTTCAAAACTTGGGCCTTTGGAGAGGGCTCTGTCTCTGTGCTATCTGTTTGTTTCTTTCCTTTGCATATACAGTATTTTTTTGCTTTTCAGTTTTTTTTTTTGTTTTTTTTTATTTTTTTACACCATGAGTTAATTAACCCCAACTAAACACTGAAGTCAATGGATGGTCAATCTGAATGAATGGGCATATTTAGAACTGGGAAATGCATCTTCTATGGCAAGCTGTGGTTCTCTTTTTTATCTGCTTGGTTTCTCCTTTCCAGACCTTGCCAATATCTTGTGCAATTCTCATGGCATCAGATGATGCACCAGAGAGCCCTCTCCTTGTGAACCCAACTGCATAGAGCCCAGCATTTCCTTTCCAGCCATGTGGGAATGGCTGCTTTGGGAATCCATTCTTGGAGAAGAAATCACCTTCCTGTTAACATAATAGAAAAAAATAGATTAGACTCTAAACAAAAATAGCAAACAATATTCTATACAATACATTTTTAATCGCTTATACAACCGGTGTATACAGTGCACCTCTCACAATAACAGGTCAGGTGACAAGTACGTACAATAACAGGTCAGGTGACAAGTACGTGAGAGTCCGTCTGTATACAGCGGTTGTAGGGAAGGCTTTTCTCCAGAAGTAACAGAAGATTTTCATTTTGTAACATGTTCTTACCTGAAGCCAAGAAGGGACATTGCTGCGGTAGCCAGTAGCTAGAACAACTGAATCAATATCAAGCCTTTCGCCATTGACAAGCTCAACTTGGCCACTTGAGAACCTCTTGATTCCAGGAACCACTTTAATACCACCAGACTTAATTTTATCCAGCGCTCCAATGTCCAAAACAGGGGTCTTCCCCTCCATGTTCTTGAGCTCCATTGGTCCCACAGAAGGCCTGTTCAGTCCATATTTCTCAATGCTTCCTAAGATCAACCATGAGAACAGTAAGAGGAGCTTGTCAGTCAACCAAATGGGCAGCCATTTTAGCAACAGAACTGCCAATTCGAATGTCGATTTTCCGAACATTTCTCTAGGCAAGACATGAACCTGTACAGCAAAGACAGAGCAAAACTTATTAGAACCCCATAAAAGATTAAAACCCATCAAAGGAAATGAGCTAAAAAGTTGTATTTTATCAAACACTTACCGAGCTTCTAACCACGATTGATGGCAAGGCATTGTGGTTGCAGAGGTCAAGAGAGAGTTCCATGCCTGAATTTCCACAGCCAACAACAAGAACTTTCTTTCCTCTGAAACTTTCTCCAGACTTGTACTCACAAGCGTGCACAACTTTGCCTCCAAAATCCGACAAGCCATCGAATTCCGGCACGACACACTCTGCATTTTCGCCGGTGGCCACTATGAGCCACCTGCAAATGTACTCCACCTCGGACCGGGTCGACTGGGTTGAGGTAACGGTCTTCACCCGCCAGAAACCGCTTGTCTCATCGTACCTTGCAGACTGGACGCAAGAATTGAACTTTGGGTTGATCTCGAAGTGTTTGGCGTATGATTCAAGGTAGTCAATGAATTGTTTCTTTGTTGGGTACTCAGGGAAGTCTTCAGGGAATGGAAGCTTGGGGAGTTGGCAAAATGCCTTGGGAAGGTGAAGCTTAAGCCTATCATAGGTGCGTTTTTGCCATAGGGATGCTATGCATTCAGCTCTTTCAAGCACCACAAAGGGCACTCCTTGGTCTCTGAGGCAAGCCGCGGTTGCTAGTCCTGATGGTCCGGCCCCAACTATGACCGGGCCATTGACCATGATACAACGGCGAGCGAAGAAATCTTTATTATCCACTAGACGAAACACGTTCTCCATGTTGATGATCAAAGAAGTAGACTTTAAAAGTGTGAGTTTTTTTTTGTGTGTGGGAGAGTAATGGGATTGAAGCACAAAACAATTTGGGATTGTTTTGGAAGTGATTGTTGTTGCAATAGATCAAAGATCTATGAGAAGGTTTTGGTTGTTGATGTTTTTTGAAGTGTTTGCAAATGAGGAACTTTGTTGAGAGAATAGAGTGAGTTTGGTTTGGAGGGGGAGAGGGTGCTTAAATAGATGAGAGAGGTGCATGTGATAGGAGTGTGGGGAGTTAAATGCGCTTGAGAGACTTCCAAATCATAAGCTTTGGGCTGCCTTTTGTGTTTTTTGTTTTTTTTTTAATAATCACACAATATTTTCTCACCATTATATTATTAGATCTTATTTTTTGCAATTATTTTATTGGAAAGTTTTCATCAAGATGAAGCCCTTTTTTTATTTTTTTTTTATTTTTTGGAGGAATTGATTGTTGTTGTGTGTGAAATAAGTGAGGGGTAGGAATATGCTTCAATCACCGAAGGAGGCATGCATTTATATAAGGAAAATACTTCATTCCTTATCAAGTAAGAGCGAGCTTATATATTCATGTTAATAGCAGTGTGATATGTGTGTAGAAGTTTTTCTTTCTGTGTTTTTTATGAATTATTTTTGCATATGTGTCAAATTGTGATTTGCAGGAAGGATGAGTATCTCCTTACGGATAAGGAGGCAAGTAGTATCCTTTATATAATTAAGAAGATTAATATCACAAATCAATATGATATCAATCACATTCTCCATTTAAATTCAACCATGCAAAAGTCTTCGAATTCTAGATGAGTCACATTAAAATAAAATTGGAATTATAGATATCAAAATAATGCAATTGTGAGTATTTATTCATAATTCATCGTATATATACACAAAATTGTGAGAGAGAGGATGTTGGGAAAGGGACATGTCATCCTCAACTGATCTAATTTGACCCACAATTTTTTTATAAAAAAATTGAAAAATGAAAAGAAGAAAAAAATCTTAAGAAGTCATGCCTACGTGGCAGGATGCTGACTGGGAGGCATGCCCACATGGAGTGGAGAAGCCAACTTGCTGTTGGGGGCTCACCCCCCTTCGCTCCTCTAAGTTTCCGTGCATTGGGATCGCGACTCTTTTTTTTCTTTTTTTTTTTTCTTTTTTTTTCAGTCAAGGATCGCGACTGTAAAGCTGTGTTCGGCCCACAAAGCCCATCCCGGCAACAGCCTCCTCCACACCAAGCTAGCGCCTTCCCTGACCCCACATTTGTCCAACTCATTTGTTAGCTATGCTCTATGATATTATTTGCTTTCCTTTTTCTTTTTAAATACAAACGACAAATGTTAGTTTAAACTACAATGGAGAAAGGAGTTTCTCCCAAATACACTACGAAGGTATCATGGGAATTCAAACCTAAAATTATTAAAGTCCTTTTTTCACTAGATTAGATTCCGTTGGCTTTTTCTTTTTCTTTTACTGATGAAGTAAGTGATGATATCGTTGTTTTCATTTGTTCATGTTTGAGTACACCCTTTTATTTATTCAAAAAAATAAATTGTCACGTCAATTAGCTAGTAATCAAAAGTTGGGAAGTAGTTTATGGCTCCAGTATTATTAACTAATTTATTATACGAAATTTATCATGACGCTTATATTTTAATGATCATTTGTTTTAGTGACATTCAACTTTTACTTTATATAAGAGAAGATTCTGAATTCAAATATATCATGAACGACATTGTAATTAAATAAATAAAAAATGTCGTAACACATTCGTTGCTCTCTAACTTCTACTTGATTTATTTTCCTTGTTCATTAACTTCCATTTCTACGTTGCTTTGTATCGTTACAACCAAAAAAAGAAGAGACCCTAATTTTGGGATTTTCTTTTGCACTTGGTTATATAAGTAGTTTATGGCTCAAGTATTATTAACTAATTTATTATACGAAATTTATCATGACGCTTATATTTTAATGATCATTTGTTTTAGTGACATTCAATTTTTACTTTATAAGAGAAGATTCTGAATTCAAATATATCATGAATGACATTGTAATTAAATAAATAAAAAATGTCGTAACACATTCGTTGCTCTCTAACTTCTACTTGATTTATTTTCCTTGTTCATTAACTTCCATTTCTACGTTGCTTTGTATCGTTACAACCAAAAAAAGAAGAGACCCTAATTTTGGGATTTTCTTTTGCACTTGGTTATATCAAAACATCTAAGCTAAAAATGCTTGAAAAATAACTATTGTTTATTGCATATATATGTTAAATACAAATGAAAAGGCTTGCTTTCACTAGCAATGCATACAATTTGAGAATAAGATGTTTGCATATCATACCATATTGGTTTTTATTTTTATTTTTTATAAGTTTTGAAATTATATATTTAGGGCTTATTTGATAGGCTAGACTAGATTAGTAAAATGTCTATATTTCATGTGCATTCAAGGATAATATATTATCTATGGATATGTTGCCTAACTTATAGGAAGAATAAAGACTATCTGTAAGAGGTTGATGACTAAAACTTATCCCTCCTAATCTCCTTGAAAATGGTGAGAGATAAGTTTTAGTCGTCAACCTCTAATGAATAGTCCTCCTTCATCTTCAAAGTTAGACAACAATATCAATATTATGCTTTGATTACACGTGCATTTTGCTAATCTATAGTCTAATTTAGTCCTCTCTGACAAACAAGACCTACATACTTAGTTTGATGACTCTACTACCTTATACCGGTGAAACCTTCCCACCAATTAGTTTAAAAAATTGAGTTGTAACCTACTTTTATAGGTAGAAAGCGCACTCACACCTATCTTATAAAAAAATAGTTACTTTCTCTAACGCCTTTGGGAAATTAAATCCAATGCTTGCCAAATAAAATGAACTTCGATGTTCTAGCCAGCTAGCCTTAAAGATCGCATGAATCTAGCAGCTACATTTTACTATGTTATTTGATAAAACCTAGACGCTTGTTCATGGTACGGGGTAGGCTGGGAAATTCATTTCATGTTCTACTTTCGGTATCAATTGATTGAATAGACCCCATGTTGACACGCGTCCCCTGGCTAAAGCTAGAAAGTGAATTCTTAGAGCTTTTCTAAAGAAGTTGATTATGGCGGTGATTAAACCTAGGTTTGCCTTTTAGGGTTTTGTATAATAACCTTATAACTTGTGCGAAATGGGTTAGCTAGGGCCTGTCAAAGTACAACTTTGTGGCTAGTTTTGAGTTGGAAAATCATGGGTCTGCCCCACAGCCACCCACCACCCCCACTTGTAGCTCTGAGTATGAAAAGATATATATTCATGGGAAGAGGAGAGGGAAGCATGTGCATGAAGCCTTGAATTCCATGAGAGTCTCTCCTTTTCATGAAAGGTTTTGGATATATAAGCTTGGCACTTCTGAGAATTTACATATTAAATTGGTTTTGAAATGAGTATCTTCATCATCACCATCAACAATATCTGAATAGCTGCTTTGCATGCTCGCTTTACCTCTAGAGAAACACTTTAATGGAGGGAGAGATAGTATTGTTTTATTATTTTCGATTAATCATAGTATGTCAAGTAAGATAATTTTTTTTACTTGGTATATTGTGATTGGCCGGGCCGTTTCACACAAGTCTTTTTGCTACCTCAAAATCCAATATATGGGATGGTATTTAAAAACAAAAAACCAAAAAAAACTTAGCTTTTTACATGTAATTGAGTCTTCTTTCTTCTCTTTTTTTGGCAAATAAATCACAATCGGACATGTATACATAATCTTGTAATATTATTGAGTTATTTTTGCATATATATGTTAGATTGGTTTGTAAGAAAGAAATCTTTAGCTTCTTACTTGTAAGGCTATTCTTTCTTGCAGATAAATCACAAAATATATAAGCTTTTTCGTTTGTAATTTTAGTGAATTATTTGTGCATATATATCACACTGATTTGTAAACGATCTAGATGCTCTTATGTTGTTTTTATTAATATTTATAAGAGCGACGGATAAAAATGAAGAGAGATTACATATATACGATGTGTTTGAAAAATAAAATAAAAACGATAGTATTTTTGTGATAAAATTAACAAAAACAAGTACAAAGCAACTAAAGTGTCGATTATGAATACAAATTTTTCAGTAACCAAACGCAATAACAAGTTGAATTGATCTGAAGAGAATTAATACGCACAAATTTCTTTAAATAAGATTATAACGGTCCTTTTTCTTTTCTCCTCATCATCTTCTACATAGTCTGAGAACATGTCTTTACACTACTTTCTTGGTCAACCAGAAGCAACGGATTATATATAGAATTTCAATTTGGTAGGAAAGGGAATATATGATAAATTTAAAATGTAGGAGTAGGTCCAATCCATGATTAAGAAAAGGACACAAAAAGATTACAATAGGTTGATTATAGTATATGTTTCTCCCTCTTTCTATACATGTTCATTTCATTACAACTTTTTTTAAAAGCTCCATCTCATTATTGTTTGGCAACAACAACAAAAATAATCGAGTTGGCGACTAACCAATCATTAAAACAAACGTAAGGAGAATAATACCTTGCCTACCTCACAAATCAACGGCTCCAAATCCATCCTACTAATGATTTCTCATCCAACGGTTAGGGTGAATTGGCTAGAGATATGCATCAAATTGCCTCACATGACATGCACCACAAACTTAATTAAAATTTTCAAAGAATAAAACAAAAACAAAAGAAAATCTTTTATTAATTTATATATACACATAAAAACCTTTGAAAGATTTGAAAGATCTTCGTTTCAAAACCTCCTTATGTTTTGTTTCATGTGGCTCACTAAATACAAGCAATATACCAAAATTACATTAAATTAATTATAGGAGGAATATATTTCGCATGTGGTTGGATTTCTTCTAGATATATATTCCAACATAAAATCTTAGTCATGATATGATTAGCACTAAGATACCACTTAAGTTTTGTTTAGGGTTTTGGTCAAGGCTAAACTTCATGACATTCTATTCGGTCAACTTTTTTTTTTTCTTGAAAAAAAAAATTGCAAAGGGTAGTTATTTTACATGAAATTGCATGTTGTCAGTCAAAGTTAACTTTAAATAATTAATGGTTCCTTTTTGTGCAACATGGCCGGGCAAATAAACCCAAAAAAAAAAACTAAAA